TTTTGCTGCTTTGGAATGTGGCTTGGCCATTGTTTACCAACAGGTGAATGTTTGATTGGTTCCATGTGAATTGTTTTTACTTATTGACCAATCACCATCAGCTGTGTCAGACTCTGAGGAGTCAGGCATGGGTTTTTATTATTCGTTCTTCTTAAGCCTTCTGTCTGTATCCTTCTCTTTCTTTAGTATAGTTTTAGTATAGCATTCTTATAATATAATATCATAAAATAAAAACTCAGCCTTCAGAGAACATGGAGTCAGATTCTCATCTCTTCCCCATGCTGGGCTCCCTCACAAACACCACATTTCAACTCTCAGTGTTGTTGTTGGTCCAGGTTGCTCTCTCTTGTCCTACCCAGCTCTCTGTGCTGAAGAAACCTCCTGCTACCACAGGCTGGACAGGACCCTTCTCTTTTGAGCTTCCATTGCCTTTTTCCCAACCTGGAAATGAAACTCGAGGTCATTTTAATAAGGATGTATTATAAAAGAGTATCTTTATTTGAAGGCCTTCAGGAGCAGTTATGGAAAGATGGCCACAAAAGCTCACCCCCACAGGGATCAGTACATATTTAGAGGTTTTAGGAAATTTGCATAATTGATAAAAAGCACCAATTAGGAGGACAAGTGGTGATTAGATTTCCCCCAGGTCAAGCTCCTTCTCTGTAGTCCCCCCGTCAGCACCAGCTGAGCTTGGTCCATGAAATGGATCTGGAAGAGTTGTCCTCAGCCTTGGTTCCAAGGAAGAACCAAGATAAGAGAGGAGCCTTGTACCCCTCAGGGCTTGGAGCTCTGGAATTTGTTTTGTCTTCCTGCCTAGGGAAAGGCCATGGAAAATCACTGGGAAAACTAGCTACTAATACATTAGGCTACAGAGCTACAAATATATGTGAAAAATTGCATTATTATTATTATTATTATTATTATTATTACTATTATTATTTTACAAACATACACATATATAATAATATATACAGAGAACATATAAAGAAATAAAAGGCAAAACAAAAACCAGCATCAGTTCCAGGACCAACACAGTGGTGGAGTGGCTAAATATTTTAAAGTTTTTTTCATGTTCAATATCTTGTCACAGACAGGAGATTTATGCATTAGCATCAGGATGGGGTTATATGCATTAATTCTTTCTTGTGCACCATGTGCAGATGTGCTTGACTCAGAACAAATCCTTTAGTAAGTCTGTTTAGTAGTGGCATGATTATTGCAGAAAGCAAGTTTTATATCATGAAATCCTAGAGCTCTGGAATGGTTTGGGGTGGAAGGGAACCTTGAAGATCATCCAGTTCGAGCTCCACTGCCCTGGGCTGGGGACACCTTTCACTAGTTCAGGCTGTTCAAAACCATTCTGGCCTTGAATACTTCCAGGCATGAAGCACCCACAGATTCTCTGAGGATGTGCCAGTGTCTCACAGGGAAGATTTTCCTCCTTGCATAAGATCCAAGTCATATCTTTCAGTTTGAAGCCATTCCTTCTTGTTTATTTGTCCCAGGCCCTTGTCCCAAGTCTCTCTTCAGGGAGCTGCTTTAGGCCCTGGAAGGGGCTCTGAGCTCTCCCTGGAGCCTTCTCTTCTCCGAGTGAGCAGCCCCACCTCTCCCCTTGGAGCACCTCCATGGCCTCCTCTGGACTCCCTCCAGCAGCTCCATGTCCCTCCTGTGCTGGGGACCCAGAGCTTTGCAGGTGAGGTCTCACCTGAGCAGGGCAGAGGGGCAGAATCACCTTCCTTGACATGCTGCCCACACTGATGTCCAGCCCAGCACAGGGCTGGCTGTCTGGGTTGCCAGTGCAGGTCAGGTTGAGCTTCTCGGCCACCAAGACCCCCAAATCCTTCTCTGCTCTCAGTGCACTCCCTGCCCAGCCTGTGTTGGTGCACCAAATGCATGTGCAGGGAGCAAATATAATTATACATCGAGAATTATTGGAGTAACATTGTGTTCCTCTATGGGGTATGACCATCACTCACACCACTCCTCAGTTTTTACCCTCAGTTCCCCCACTGAGAGCACTCCTCATACACACCAAGAAAACAACTGTCCCAAGTGAAATCATTGTGTCTTTAATGACCACAGGAATATCTGCTGTGTTTAACACATTGCTTTGGGAAATCTGTTCTGCCCACCCCAAATGGTTTTCTGTCTTAAATCTATCTGCTCAGAGTGATGTGTGTTATATAAATAAACTACACAGGCAGCACGTTTGTCAATCAACAGAAAAGGCCCTACACCCTCCATCCTGGGCACATGTACTTGGTAAGCACTGGTTTCCAACAGATAAATGTAATCAAGGTTTATATGCTCACAGAAGCCAACAGGATGGGATTTTTTCACTTGGAAGATCAGAAGAAAATTGTAACTAATGTTGTGGAAAATTACTTTGATATTGCTTTCTCAGTACAGCATCACAATTAGGTAGCAATGTGAAGCACAGGGAAAGAATAAATGAATAGTAACAAATCAACAGAAACAGCTACTGTCAGGAGTACTTTGCTCAGTGAAAGTAATGTAAGCATTACTTAAAGTTTCATGACTGTGGATTTTATACTGGTTTAAGTATTACATCAAGGTCTCACTGTCATGCTTGCTAGGACTTAAACAATCAAGAACAATTTCTGAAACAGACAGATAAAACTGAAGTACCAAAGTATTTTTATTAATCTTGTTTCATAAGTTGTTCTATCCTAAATGAGAGATGACTGAACATACTAACAATGAAAAATGTCCTTTTGGACAATGCAAAGGTTCCTTTGCTGCTTTTTGGTGGAAAATGAGTGTTACCAACTTCTCTCCAGCCCTGCTGATTCCAGCATCTGGCAAATGTGTTTCACTACACAGGAAATACAAAAGCAAAGGCTAATCCAGTAAAGCTTTTCCATGCAGAATCTGTTGTCCTAAGTAGCTTAATGATTCGTGCATTTGTTCAATTCTCTCGAGAGAGCAATCAGGCAAGCAAATTATAGCAATATCCCATCTCCATTAGAACCAGGCCCCTTTATGGAGGAGCACTCTGAGCACAGCCAGGGAAGGATCCTCCTCAGCACGCCAAAAACATCATCTGAGATTGACAGATTTTCACAGGAGACTGTCCAGGAAGGAAATATGCCAGCCTGTATTTTTAAATGGAATTAATGGATATTTTTACCTATGTTCTTTAAGTCGCCCAATATGTTTCAGTGATAACTGGTATCATTCTCAGTCCAGTGGGAGTTGAAAGCACTTAACACACATGAAAATCAGCCAAACAGAAATAAAAGTCATTGTATTGAGCACCATTTACTCAAGGGCGCAGTCCAGCTCCTATTAACATAAATAGTAATTGAATGTGAGAATTGAGGAATTGATTACACACCTTTGGCAGTAACAGCATGGTTGGCATGTTTGTGTTTTAGGTATCCACAGCAATTACACATTACACAGTGAGTTTCCCTGCCAGGGGCAGGAGCTCTGTTCAAACTTGCTTTTATTTAAATATGCTTGGGTGTCCCCTTCTCCAGTTGCACTGCTCTCAAAAATCACTTCCCAGAGCACTACAATCAGCAGTCAGCATTCAAGAGGTTTATGGCAGAGCACAGGTCAAGATGAGGGACAGACAACAAAAAAAAAAAAGAAAATTGCACTGGTTTTGAGACCACACTAGGAAATCTTCTCTTTCAGGAGCAAAAAATTAACTTTTCATAGACAGTCTTAGATGCATGAGAGTACTGCCTGCATTTGCTGTCCATACATCTTTCCCCCTTGCCTAAACTACTGGCCAGTTTCAGTCAAATATAGCCAGTACCTCTGTTTTTAATCTATAAACTCTTTTGCATCTAAGCATACAAAAATAAATTGCAAAACCACCGAAGGAACTAGTTAATTCCCTGCTTTGCACTACACTCCAGATTCATTACTTCTATAGTTTCAGCTGAGTGGCTGCTTTCAAAATTGGTGTGTGTGCAGTTGGACTAAATAAACAACATATTAAAGTACAGGCTGTTTAGTGACATGGAAACAAGCACTTAACAAACCTAGACACAGAAATTAGCAATTAATGTAATTATTTAAGAGTTCCCTGTGTTCCAGTTCAGCTTATTTAAAAATGTTAGCAATGATTTTAAATAGACACAGTTGTGTTTGCTGTACGGTGAAGATGTCAAATGAATAAACGTTTTATGAGGCATTTGTTTAGTCAGGGGACAATTTCAGAGCAAACACAGGGGCCAAACCCCAGAACACAGTGGCATTATCCTGGATGAGAGTTAACTGCACTGGCATTTGTCTAGGCTCCAAAGCAGCCTTCATTACAGCCACAGTCAAAGAGAAAAGGACTGCAAGTAAATCAAGAGATCTTGGGTCCTTTCCTACTTTTGTGCCTCCCTTTAAAATGAAACTATTATTTCAGCCCACAATTTTCCAGTTCTCCCATCTCTGTGGCCTTTGTGGCTCTCCACAGTTACAAGTTAGCAGTGCAGGAAGATGACATGCATATGAACAATAGTTATGAAAGGTTTAATTGAAGTTAAGCAATTTAAGTGAATGCATCCTAAAGTATTTCAAGTTTCTGATGTGACTCATTCATTCATCTCTTATTTTGTATCTCATGACACACTGAATACCATATCCAAGAGAAGGTGAATTCACAGGTGTGCATTTCCAGGAACAGAACTTTTGATTAAATCTCTCCTTTTCACATTTACAGTGATATAGTTGGTAGCAAAAGTTGGTCTCAAATTCAGCAGAAACTTAACTCCACCCAGCTGGACTCTATGCATGTTGGCAAAGGTCCTGTATAATCAATTAATTGGTTCTTGGAACTGGTTTTTTTTCAGCAAATGCTTTTTTTTTTTTTTTTCTTTTAAGAAATTGATAATTACTTTCAAGGTAGCCTTCATTAGCCATGACACACCTTTTTTGAGGTATCCTCTATGAAATATGTAAAACACATTGAGAATATAAGTACAAAATATTGAGCATGAAAGGCAGGTGATTCAAATAGAAACAGGAATGCTAACCTGGTGTCTGCTGATGAACTATTTCTTCTGGATCCTGCAGGTGAATGAAGACCACGAGCCCAACTGCTCCAAACAGCAAGATGAAGGAGAACATACATGTCAGCCTCATAATTACTGTTCTCAGATCAATCCAGTTCTATAACCCAGGAAAAGAACTGCATGTGATCTCCAGGGCACTCTTCACTCATAGTCCTCGTCCTCTCATCTGGAATTCTGGTGTAATATGCCTACAAGAAGTAAAAAAACAAATCAAATCAAACTTAACATAGAATACATTTATTTTCCCAATGCAGATCAGTAGATTTAAGTTCTCATTTAGACCAAATAACTGATTTCTCTAGTATTTCTTTTGTACAGTTAATTGAAATAATCCATTCTATTTCTATCCCATCAGTTGTCATTAAGTTTTTGTCCTTTTTTTTCAAATGTAGAAAAGATGATGTAGTATACAGTTAAAAATTTCATTTTGGGGAAAAATGATCACGCCACAACTTCTATTTTCAGAGAAATCCCTCTCAATTGTTTGCTTAGAATATGTCACTTTTTAGTTTTTATTTCCCACTGATTAAACAATATGAAAACCATGAAGGGAGATAACATGAAAGCTGCCAAACACAGAACTGGCAGCTGCTGCTTCACCTCTGAGGAGAAACAGCCACACTCAGACCAACCACCATAGGTCACCCACTGAGGCAGCTCTGTGCTATGCCAATCCTGCATTTGTCAGTAACACAAAAATTCAGTAACACTGTGCATTAGAGCACAAGGGGAACTGGTGCCCAAAATGTAACCAGATTTCTCAGTAGTAGATTATTGAACACAAGGGCTCAGCTGGAGGTCAGCAACAGGCTGCAGGGGTAGCAGTCACTTTGCTTTCCCAATATTTTTACTGCAAATGTGACCTGCTCTAAAGAAAAGTTTTTGAAGCTGGATTTGTTTACAAAGGGGATTTTAGATACAAAAGGACTGTATCACATCAGTTTGCAGGAAGGATGGGTTGTGGAGAGGTGATGATTCAAAGTAGTTACATCAGGAAAAGTCTTTAAAGATTTATTCTTAATGTGCCTGGAATATTTGGTGTTGGGGCAACTTGTATGCTTTTCATGGTTTCCTTAGGAAGCTTTTAATTTTCTGTAGTATACTGGCATTCTAAATTTCTAAAATGCATCAGTGAAGAACATGAGGTGTGAAAGATGAAGTCATTCTGTGACTCTGACTGATAAGGTTATTAGCATTATTTAGTGGCAATTATATTTATTCAGTGTGTAAAGCAGCCAGAGCTCCAGGCCAGGAACACTGGGGGATGCTTGGATCTTAAATGAATGCAGAGCCCTGCATTCTCTCTCTGCATAAGCAAATTCAGCTTTATTCTCTGTTCAAATTATGGCAGACAGTAATTGTGTATTCTTTTTTTCACCTTAAACTTTTCTCACACCTTTACAAGTAAAACTAAAAGAAAACATTGCTAAGTTTTTCAGCACTAGCAAAGACAGGTTGTTAGAAGTCCTTGTGCAGGTCCATCTGTGCCTTTTGTGAATCTAGTATGGATGGACATTTGCATTTACTACATATATTTATCTTTAAATGCCAAATGCTCTAAGGCACCAGGGGAGTCAGATTGGCTTTCAAAGTAACTGTGTTCCACTTCCAACCACTGTTATGAGCTCACAGGGAACACAACCCACCCTGTCTCTGGGTCCCTGCAGGGTTTGTTTGGCTGCACAGGCAGGGGCTTGGATGAATGGACACTTCCAACCAAACCCAATGGTGGCAAAGCCAGAACAACTCCAAACTCACACCATCACTTGGTAAATCCAGTCAGAGCTTTCTAAGAATTGCATTTGGTTTCCTGACATACAGGATTTCCCTTCTGGCACCTATTTATGCTCTCTGCGTGCCCATGGGGAGGAGGAAGCTCCAACAGGCACAAGGCAGGTGCCCTGCCTGAGGGTTTTCAGGAGGGCCACATGATGAGATGATGATGATGATGATGATGATGATGATGATGACGACCATGATGATGATGAGAGCAGGAGGGGCTCCAGTCTGGCAGCCCTGGGTGCTGACCCTCCCTGTGGGAATGCCCCCCCTGGAGGGACACAGAACTGGTGAGAAATGCAGAATCATCACCTGAGAGGGAGCAGCTGAAAAACATCCACCCCCAAACAACAAGGGTTTATATTTGCTTAGTGGTGAATTCTAAAATCTTTTTTAAATTAATTATACCCCTGAGCAAGTATGGGTTTCTAAAACAATTATTATTATTAGCTTAAAATGTGAAACCATTTCCCCTGGATTTCATTTGTTGAAATGTTTTTGTTTGAAGTAGAGGCAGCATCAAGAAAGGAGATCCCTAGCCAGGTTTTAATTAGTGCAAGAAATGCTACAATAGCAGTTTTTAAGTTAGAGTGTTTACATTATTCCACATCCTGTAGAATAACTGTGTCCAGGAATACAAAACCTTTTAGGTTTGACATTACAGCCTCTCCAGGACACCTCAAGATACAACAGTAACAAAGCTAGGTGAAAGCACATATTTGAAAGAATAAAAGGCCACTTTTATTCTCTAGTTTTAGTTTAGTTTAAACACTTTAGTTTTGCATAACTAAAGAAAAAACTGCTGCTGTAGCCATTGCATGATCCTGCAAGCAGCGAGCACAGGAGTCTGAGAAAGAAAAAGAGAGATCCTCTTTCTTCTCAACAAAATGATACCTCTCAACAACACACAAACATCAGAGATGTCTAAATTATGGGTCTAATCTTTTCCTCTCCCCATTCTCCTGTAATTATTTTTCCAATCAGTTGGCTTTAATTAGCATGTCCTCAGTGAGCAGAGCTGGGGAATGGCAGTGCCTGGTTTAGAGATGCTGAGCAGGTGCTTCCCAAGCCCTCCCAGGCTGCTCCTTGAGCTACAGGAGCAGAGGAACTCTGGAAGCAGTTAGCACGACTGATAAATGTGAACAAAGTATCCTAATTAAGGAAACATTTGAAAATACCCTTTACACTCCAATCACATCATTTTAAAGATGGATGAGGGAAAAAGCCTACAAAAAAACCTAAGTGCAGCTTGACCTAAGAGTTTCATCAGGCAGTACTTCCTCAGGCATGTGATGGATGCTTCATGGGGGAGCTCTGGATTGACCCACCCTGTGTCCCAGCATCTGGGGGGCAGAATTTGGATCAATCCATACCCTTCAACTTGCACTTTGCAGTCACATTTTTTAACTGTGCTCCTCACAATGGACAAAAATATATTTTTATAATTCTTGGCATTACCCAGAGTGCAAGCAGATAAGGTTGCAAGCAGCTTCCAATCTGAACTCCATTTCGAGCTGCCCTGAACCTATTAAACAGATGGAAAATGATTCATTAGAATGTGTAATAATGAATTGAAACATCTAACTTCTAATTTATTCTTCCTTATTACATTCCTATGATGGATAAATCTCCTAGGTACCAATATCTATTTTCCTAAGCTTTCCCATTACCAGGGTATGTGACTGCCCTGCACTTGAAAGCAGCACAAGTACGAGTGTGCACAGATAGTAATTAGCACTCAGCACTTTCCAGTTCAAAGACATTTGATTTATCAATCACCACAATACTCCTATGAATTGTGAGCTGAGGAAACATTACCATCAGATAGGAGAATGGGTGTTGGATCATTAATGTAAGACTGGTAAGGAAAAAGATGTACAGTTTTAGGTAAAAAAAAATCTAAATATGTTTCTGGAAAGTACTTAAATATTATAGCAAAATTTCCAGGCAGCAAATCTTTTCTTTACAAACACAGAAGCAGAACTAATTTCTCCCTGCTCCCAAGCAGTATGGAAAGACCCTGCAAAGATTTATTTAAGTCTTCTGACGAAAGTGGCTCTGAAAGTGGTGCTATGTAGGTCTGCTTTTGGCAATCTCTGCCCGGCAGCCCAATGACCAAACATTTTCAATGTGAGCAGTTTGCTGTTACAGCACTGCATCAGTCCAGGAAAGGAAACCCCTCTGCTGTTTGGTCCCTGCTCTGAGGTGGGTCAGGCTGCACTCAGGGTGGTGTCTGATATCTCAGGGCTGTTTGTTCACCCATGAGTGCTGCAAATATGATATTCTCTGCCTTGTCTGCTGTAACAGGGCAGTTGAAGAACAGCATTGATGAGATATAATCTAAGGGCACGGTGTAATCCTTGGGTAGAAACTCAGGAGCCAGCCTTTGGTCCATCTAGAACTAGATCTTTCCCTAACCACACTGATGCATCAAAGTAAAATAAAACCCTGCAGAGAAAAGTGGCAGGATAAGCTGTCCCTTTTCCCCCAGGAAAAGCCTTGTTATCTTCAGCTGAGGTCAGTATGAGTGTAGGAAATCTAAGACTTAAAAAACATGGGATCAGGGTGTGATGGTGTTCACAGGGGTTCTTGGATGAGGGAAGAGATGAGGGTCTGATTCCATGTTTCAGAAGGCTGATTTATTATTTTATCATATATATTACATTAAACTATACTAAAAGAATAGAAGAAAATGTTTCATCAGAAGGCTAGCTAAGAATAGAATAGCAAACAATGATAACAAAGGCTTGTGGCTCGGCTCTCTGTCCAAGCCAGCTGGGCTGTGATTGGCCATTAATTGCAAACATCCAACATGGGCCAATCACAGATGCACCTGTTGCATTCCACAGCAGCAGATAATCAATATTTACATTTTGTTCCTGAGGCCTCCCAGCTTCTCAGGGGGAAAAATCCTAAGGAAAGGATTTTCCATAAAAGATGTCTGCGACACCAGGGCATGCAGCTCTCACAGCACTGCCAGCAGCTGCTTACCAAGAGCTTGGCCATTTGCAGAGAGCAGGAGGGACAGCTCCAAGGCTCCTGCAGCCACCCTGCAGAGCCCAGGCTGCCTGGCCCTCTTTGGAATTGGTGCTGCTGTGCTGTGCTGTGCTGTGCTGTGCTCCACTGCAGAGCTGCTGGTGACCAGCCCAGCTAAATCAGCCCAAGGATGAAAGGCACTGTGGCAAGGTGACAGCAAAAAAGGGTTTTTTCCTCTGTGGAACCAGGGGAAGGGAAGGATCAAGGTGTGCCAGAGGCTGTAAAGATGCAGGGCACCTTTATACTCTCCTTTCCTGAGGCTTCACTGCAAGGTGCCAAGGCAGCTGCCGGTGAATCCAGGAACACACACTAATTCCAGGATCAGCATTGTATATTGTACGTACATCAGCAAGTCAACAAAACACCCAAATCC